CTGTGCCTGACTGTGTTTGCATCAGCAGGCAAAATCTGCATAAATTTATGTTTGTCTTTATGCCTTTAAAAATAAACTTGTTCTGCAAGATTAAAAAATCTATATAATATTTGAATTAACATTACCTGTTGCTGTTATACACTTGCTGCTTTTTGTACTTTTTAATTTTTCGCTTTTATTCACAGTGGGGGGTTTGTTTCTTTGTTTTTCCCCTTTGAGCCTAGTTTTGCTGTGTATGTAGTTCACGTTGGTCTTGAATTCTGGACAGTCCTCTTGCCTCAGCCAAGTGCTGAAATTACAGGTGTGCATCATCATCATGCCTGGCTCACAGTGTTATTTCTTATTAGCTTTTTCACTAAAGATTGTCAGCTCTATAATTATGGGCAGTGTTTCTTTAGAATTTTCACCTATTACATCATTATATTATTTTTATAGTTAGTATCATAGTATGAAGGGGGATTAGACATAAGGAGTAGGACCTAAGTATGATTTTGGGGAGGCCTTTATTTTCTAATTTCGCTTTTAATTGTAATGATACTGATACAGGGATAAAAACTGATCTCAGGTGGGTGACCTCCAAAGGATTTAGGGAACCTCCAAATGACATAGGGAAAAAACAATCTCCCAGCCTGACTTGCACGAGGTCGTGTTCTCTAAACCGAAGAATGAATTTTAGGAACAAACAGAGGTTATGAGCAGAATATATTTATTGAGGGAAAGAAAGCTCCTGTCCAAGAGAGGAATAGGAGGGGGGCCCGAGTGGGTAGTTGCCTGGGAAGCTGTCTCTTCCAGGGACTTTTATAGTGTAAAGCCATGTGGGGCTAAGGTAGAGAAAAGGGGAACTCGCTTAGGTGAATGTGGTGTGGGACAAAACTATGGTGAACCAATGAGATTACAAGCACCATTGGTGAGGTAAAATCGATTATGCCCAGGACCAAATGGAGAAGTGAGTCATGGAGTAAAGGGGCAGGAGCACAGGACAGGGTTTCTTCCTGTTAGGGGTTGGAAAACAGGACAGGGTCTCTTCCAGTTGGGGGTTAGGCTAGTGACTCACTTGGGTCTTTCCAGGTGATCGATACCTATTTAGAATATCAATCCTTTGCTAATCTTTTAGCATTTGTTTGGCCTTTAGGTCTTTAGGTCTAGTTCACAGCAGGAGCATCCACCCCTCCCACAGTTTAAGGCATCTCATCTTTTGTGCTGTCTCCTTTGAGGGCCTGGCCCTGTCTGAGTGCCTATAGTATTTCTGTCTAACTCAGCTGCCTGCAATACTTCCTTAAGGATAAACTTAAAAAAAAAAAAAAATCTGAGGTGGCTGTGTGGTGCAGTGGATAGCACATTGGACTTCTAGTAACAATAGAAAGAAAATCTGATTGTGGGCTGGGGAGATAGGTGTTCTAAGTGCCTCCCTGGCAAGTGCAAGGACCAGGATTCGATCCCAGAACCTTGGGCACACCGTACCAGCCACCAAAACCAGGAGTTGTGGTGTACGCCTGTAATCCCAGCAAGAGGATCACTACAAGTCTGAACTGCATACTGAGACCCTGTACCAAATGTTATGTGTCTGTGTGGAAGGGAGGGAGGAACGGAGGGAGGGGGGGAGGGGAGGAAGAGAGAGAGAGAGAGAGATTGAGATTTTAAAGAATCTGATTGTGTGTTTTCCTAATTTGTGTGTGATACACATGGTAAACCTAGACTGTACCTGCTGGACAAGTGCTATACTGCTTTGGCCACATTCCTGGCCCTCGCTCCCTTCTTTTAATATTCGTTTTTATTATTTTATTTTTGT